TACCTGAAATTAATATAATACTAGAGGCCTGATGCACAAAATTCATGCAAGGGTAGGCCCTCGCAGCCCTGGCTGCCCCAGCTCTTGCAGCCCCGACTGTTGCAGCCCCAGCTGCCTTGGTCCTCATGGCCCCTGCTGCCTCGTGGCCTGGCTGCCTCGTAGCCCTGTCCACCGGTTGTTCTGGAAGGTCATTCTGCTGTCTGGTCTAATTAGCATATTAACTCTTTATTATATAATACTAGAAGCCCAGTGCACAAAAATTTGTGCACTGGCGGGGGGTGGGGGGTGGGGAGGGCGTCCCTCAGCCCAACCTGTGCCCTCTCACAGTCTGGGACCCCTCGGGAGATAACCACCTGCTGGCTTAGGCCCGCTCCCCTGGTGGCAGATGGCACGTCCAATCCCGCGGTGTCTGCCCCATCTCCCCCGGTCACAGATGGTAGGCCCGGATCCTGCGCTGGGGCGGGCGGCGGCTCGGGATCGCGCTGAGGTCCCTGTGGATGTTCAGGCTTCGAAAGTGTAGGTTTTCTTTCTTGGTTTTGTTTTTACTTCTTGAAATTGAAATGTGTTAAAAAAATTTTTTTTTCCTGCACCTTTTCAGGTCCCAGGGACCGCGCCACGCACCAGCTGTCCTTTCCCAGCTCGGTGCTCCTCCGAGCTTTTCACGGAGGGGCAACCTTTTAGGTTGCGGGGTGCGTTGAGAGAAGCCCGGCTTTCTGAAAGCGAGTGTTTGATTTGGGGATTTGAGGTCTGGCTGAGGAGCCCCCAGGGCCCACTCAGAACAGTGGGGGCAGCCACAGTGAGTGACCAAAGAAACCAGAGAAAAGTTAGGAGACAATAAATGGTTCAATTTCTAATTCTGCACGTTGCAGGAGCCGAGGTGCGCCCGGGATTTTCCAGGGAGAGAGTGAGTGAGTGAGTGTCCACTGCCCCTCACACAGCCGGCCACTTGGAGTGTGACTTTTGCCAGCAAGGGCGTGGATGCAGCCGCCTGGGCCTTGTTCCTGGCTTTGCAGATGCATGTGTGTGTGTGTGTGTGGAGTGGGGAGAAGCAATTAGGACCAGGAGGCGGGTGCATGCTCTGGGGGTCATGAGGTCAGCGAGGCCTAGGTGCACCGGACACGCAGGGGCCGCCGCCCAGCTGTTGGGGCCAGCAGGGAGCCGCGGTGGCCACCTGCCCCGGGGTACCTGGGAGGCGGCGCTGCTCTGTGGTACTCTGCTTTCCCCACCCCAGGAGGCGCTGTTTGTCAAACTTGGCTGCCTTGGCAGGAGGTGCCTGCATGTTCTCACCGGGAGAATTGTTCCCTTTGCAGTTTTTGGATCTGGGCTCAGGAACCTTAGCCTCACAGAATGGTGGGGAGGGGGCAGGACGGGTGGTGTGTGTGTGCAAAGAAAAGGGGTCTGGGACCCAACAGTGTCTGCGTTTTACCTGTGAGTCCCGCCAGGCCTCCCACCTTCCAGGGCAGGAGAGAGGAGGCCGCTGGTGCTCCCATGCATTTGGGACGCAGTGCCCAGTTACTTGCCTCTCAGTGCGAGCGGGACTCGGGCCTGGCTTGGGTTCAGTCACCACATGCCTCCGGAGGGCCCCTTGGCCACCGTCTTCGCGCAGAGAGCGAAGGCGCCTTCCCTGGGCCTGACAAACCCACCCGAACGTGGCCTCCCCACCTTTGTGCGAAACTTCACAGGTTGGGGTGGCCCTTGCTTGCCCAGCCCACAGGCAGCATAACCCCCGTGATGCAAGGCAAAGCCCAGGAGCACTTGGGGCCCGCGTCACTGACCTGGGGTGGGCAGGGTTTGCCAGTGTGTGGCTGTTCCACCCTCTCCTGCAATTCACTGCACTTTCCAGGTGCCTCCTCCTGGGATTTCCCTCTTCTCAGGCTCTCCTGGCTCCTACGGCCTCCTTCCCTCCAGGGCCCGAGGTCCGTCTGGCTAAGGGTTTGGGGTTCTTCCTCTGGCCTCCCCTGTGCTTGGCACCGGCCCTGACCACAGGCGGGAGCCAGGCTGGAGGCCGGTAGCCACGTGGTATGAGCGTGACCCCCACGAGGAGGATGTGGGGGTGGGCCACACCTGCGGCTCCGCACTGGCCGTGAGAGTGTGAACTACCAGCCTAAGGCACGTTGGCTCGCACCGGTTCCAAGCACTCCGAGTTGCCTGGCCACGCAGCCTGGGCCTGAAGCCACCAGCCCTTGGAGGGCCCCTTGCCTGTCTGCACCCACACACCCCCGGCCCGGGCTTCTCCTCACCAGAAATGCACTTTATTACACTTTGGAAGGCTGGTAGGACGCTCGCAGACTCCTCGGGCTTTGCTGCAAGCAGGAAGGGGCATCCAGGAGTGGGCTCCTTGTCTCCGGTGGGCAGCGAGGGCTCGGGCGAGGTGATTGGCACCGCTTGCCTTCACCCCTGCCCCTGGGTCACACACGGGAGTGGGCCCTGTGTCTCCGGTGGGTGGCGAGGGCTCCAGGGAGGTGATCGGCAATTGCTTTGCCTGAGCCCCTGCCCCCAGGTCGCACATGGGGGCCTGGATGGCGGCTTGCTCTGTCCTAACCTACCTGCAGTATGTAAATTAGCCGCCATCTTTATTGGTGGTTAACCGCCATCTTGGCTGGTGATTAATTTGCATATCTCACTGATTAGCCAATGGGAAGGGTAGCAAAGTTACGGTTAATTGCCATGTTTCTCTATTATTAGATAGGATAGGATTGTATGTCAACTATAGGGAGCTATGAGTTGAGTCTTAAAGGAAAGAGTAGCAATTTTTAAAATTATAAGCATATGATGATTAATATGATATTGTGCCTTAGTCAAAACCTCATGCCTAATATTACTGGTAAGCAGTGATAGATAAAAACATTGACGATAACTACAAGAAAGTAGTTACTTTTGCCCCAAAATGAAGTTAATGGGAAGAAAGTTTCAAATATAATGTTCTAGCACAATCATGGCGAACCTTTTGAGCTCAGCATGTCAGCATTTTGAAAAACCCTAACTTAACTCTGGTGCCGTGTCACATTTAGAAATTTTTTGATATTTGCAACCATAGTAAAACAAAGATTTATATTTTTGATATTTATTTTATATATTTAAATGCCATTTAACAAAGAAAAATCAACCAAACTGAGTTCGCGTGTCATAGGTTCACCATCACTGTTCTAGCATGTACTTATGACAGGTGTTGAAAGAGTTTTTATCTTTCATTGTTATTGATTGAAAAAAATCACAAATGAATGAACTGATGACTGGAATACTTTGGAAAATCACATTAGTCAGATGAAATTATAAGACCGGATGTAATTTGTTTAAAGAAAGCCAGGTATTATAGGTACAAAACTTGCCTATAATTTGTTTACAAATATGATTAAGCAAATGATTGCAAACTTGCACTTGAATCTAAAATAGCAGAGAAACCTATGCAGGGAAAAGCTACCAATTGTGACCTCAAGAAATTTTCATCAAGAAAAAAAGAAAATAAAACAAATCAAAATCTTCTTATTACCATTCATTCTTCCTCCAATCCCATCATTCTTTTATGAAATAAAATTAATCTATTTTTTATATGCACAGAAAAATCTTCTAAGATCAATCTTTAGGTGCTACTACACATGTTACTTTATTTTTTAAATTTATTTTTAATATATTTTTATTGATTTCAGAGAGGAAGGGAGAGAGCTAGAGAGATAGAAACATCAATGATGAGAGAGAACCATTGATCAGTTGCCTCCTGCACACCCAGGCATGTGCCCTTGACCGGAGTTGAACCCACAACTCTTCAGTCTGCAGGCCAACACTCTATCCATTGAGCCAAGCTGGCTAGGGCTTACTTTATTATTTTTTATTTTTTTATTTTTTTCAAAAACATTTTTATTGATTTCAGAGAGGAAGGGAAAGGGAAGAGAGAAATAGAAACAGCAATGATGAGACTCATTGATTATGAGTCCTGCATGTCCAACACTGGGGACCGAGCAGGCAACCTGGGCATGTGCCCTTGACTGGAATCGAACCCGGGGACCCTTCAGTACACAGGCTAACGCTATATCCAGTGAGCCAAACCAGCTAGAGCTACTTCCTCTTTTTCTTTTCAACAGGCTTTTAAAAGAGTGTAACCATGTGATCCAGAGAACGGGCATCATTTGCCCCTAAAGGTCCTGTGTGTGGAGAGGGCACAGGACCCAGTGTAGCAGTATGTGATGGTCCGTTCTTGCCCTGGGCCCGGCCCAGCGCAGTTCCTTAAATCCAGGTACAACCACACTCAGCATGGCTGGGTGTTGCCTGCCCTGAAGGTCCCTGCTCTTTTGGGGTCTGCAAATACCCTGCTCTTGGCCCCTCACTGCCTGTGGGGGTGCAGGCATGTGGAGTCTGTGGCACCCCAGAACCTGCACCCAGTGAGGCATCCTCACCTTTTCCCTCTGGGGCAGGAGGAACCTTCCATTCTGGGCCCCAAGAATCAGCAGGGGGCCGAGGAGCGGGAGCTTGAAGAGGAGCAGCAGGAGCAGCTGACTGCAGTCCAGGAGGCCCTGATGCAGGACCCCGCATGCCTGGGGGCGCTCCTATGAGTCCGGGCCTAGCGGTGGGTTTCCTTCCTCAGGCAGCAGGACCAGCTCCAACATGAGGTGGCACTGCACGAGCTAAGGAAGCTCTGGACCACCAGCTGGGAGGCCCTGCTGCAGGACCCTGCATGCTTGGGGGTGCCCCATGACCAACTGACAGGGCAGGACGAGGCCCTCATGGACCAGCACAGCCACCCGAGACGCTGCTGCGTGGGTCCCTGGAGATGGAAAGCCAGGCGGTCAGGCTGAGGTGAATGGCGGTCACTGGCGGGGTGATTGGTGGGCTCACCAGGGCTCCTGTCCCCCCTTCATTGTGGCCTGTCATGTTTCCCTTGGACCCGCTGCTTCACAGGGACTGGAACGGACCCTGGGGACACATGGGGCGGAGGGGAGGACTGGAGTCTGGGGCTGGAGGAGACCCCTGCCCATCCGCGCCTCCCTCAGCTCTGCAGAGAAGCTGCTCACAGAGGCTGTGCAGGCTCCTGTGAGTCTGGGCCTAGCGGGTGGGTTTCCCTCCTCAGGCAGCAGGACCAGCTCCAACAGGAGGCAGCGCTGCACGAGCTAAGGAAGCTCTTGACGGCCAGCCAGGAAGCCCTGCTGCAGGACCCCGCATGCTTGGGGGCACCCCATGACCACCTGTCTGGGCAGGATGAGGCCCTCATGGGCCAGCACAGCCACCTGAGACACTGCCGCATTGGTCCCTAGAGATGGAGAGCCAGGCGGTCAGGCTGAGGTGAGTACCAGCCATTGGTGGGGTGACTGGTGGGGTCCCCAGGGCTCCTGTCACCCCTTCACTGTGGCCTGTTGTGTTTCCCTTGGACCCAATGCTTCACAGGGACTGGAAGGGGCCCTAGGGAACGGTCAGGTGGGAGGAGGGACACTTGGCTCTGGGGCTGGAGGAGACCCCTGCCCATCCCTGCCTCCCTCAGCTCTGCAGAGAAGCTGCTCACAGAGGCTGTGCAGGCTCCTAGCGGGTGGGTTTCCTTCCTCAGGCAGCAGGACCAGCTCCAGTAGGAGGCAGCGCTGTAGGAGCAGGAGGCCAAGGCCCTGGCTGCCCAGGAGAACGAGAGGCTGCCATAGGAGGTAGACAGGTAACTGCCTCCGCCCCTGCAGGGCAGCTTATTAATGAGATAGTTTACATTGTTTAAGTCCTCAGAATCTGTTGTATATGTTGCACTAATGGTGCGTTTCAGCTCAGAATGGCTGTGCGTTCAGTGCTCAGTGGCCACACGTGGTAGTGGCTGCCTGATTGCAAAGTGCACTTGGCCATCCCCATGTCATTGGCTGTGTTGGTCCTTCCAACTGGTGTAGATCACACCGAAATGGCCATCTTTATGATGTGGCCTTTTTCTTCTTTTAGGAGCAGATTCCCAGCAGTGGAGTCACAGGGGCGTGTGGTGTGTGAGACATTGCTGATCTGGGTTTTAGGTGCTCACCCATGTGAGGCAGACCTTGGAGGAAGAAAAACGTAAGTTCAGGAGCCAGATCAAGATGTTGGCCAAGCAGAACCGGAGACTTCTAGAAGAGAGTGCGGAGAACAAGGCTCGGTGCATGTAAGGGGCGGGGGCTGACCGACACCTGTCCACACAGGGCTCCTGGCTTCCAGCTCCACGCCCAGGCCTCGACATTCTGGGCAGAGAACCCCCTGGTGCACTCGTGTCCCAAGGGCAAGGGACAGACCATCGCCCAGTGCATCCTTCTCTTGTTTCTTGGAATGGTTCTAGCTTTCTGCAAGGAGGGGTGTTTGGCTTTTGTTGGCTTTTCAAAGACAGTGCCCATTGCCAGACAATTCTTAATCTGCTTTTGGAATTAAGTTCAATTTAAAAACATGACAGAGATACCTAGAGAAGGAATTCAGATTGCAGGCTCAGCCCTTTGTGTCTGATTTCCCCTTAATGGGCTGGAGAGAGGGTTGTGGGTGCATTGTGGTTGTCCTCCCTCTGACAACAGGACACAGACCTGTGAGGCACACAGAACCAATGACCCGATGGCCAGGAGCCAGGAGGTGTGATGGGATGTGAGCAGAGCTGTGTGCACACCAGGTAAGTGTTGAGGAGCTCCATGGAGGCATAGAAGGCAGCATGGTGGTGGGAGTTAGAATTCTGCTGCTAACAAGGCTAGCCAGTGGGGGAGGTGAAGCTGGAGCGTGACGTGGTCCGTGTGCAGGGAAGTGCCGGCAGTGGCAGAAGGGAAGGCTGGCATAGGCGGTGCTCAGCTGTGGAGGACATCCATGCCCCGCTAATGATTTGGATTCACTTGAAGTATTTAAGAGATGCTGGTCAACAAGTCTGGGGGAGCTGCCAGAAATGAGGCAGGAGGAAGAGGCTTGGTGCGGGAAATCTTGTGGTTTGGATGTCAAGTAATCCGAGATGCACCTGGTGGGTCCATGGTGGTCTTCACCCCTCAGTGTTGTGCTGCTGGACTGTCCTTGCTTGTGATCGGGACTGGCTGGCCATGAGGGACAGAGAGACATGGTCACAGTAACCACAGGGGCACTGGCCCAGCCCCTGGGGGTCACGATGCTGCTTCACTGTTCTCCTGGAGTCTTCTGCTCGTCTACAAGTGGCTCACCACCTACCAAGAATGGTCTACATGGAAAACCACACTACAGTTTTGGTGTAGAAATGACTGTGGCCTGAAATTGGCTCTCTATAATGCAGCTGGTAAAAATTACCAACAGAGGTCAGGCAGGTGCTAACTAGAAGAGCAGAGCCTGGTACAGAGGAGGATGATCTGATGATGGTTTCACATTAGACAGTGTCTGCAGGAGGCCAGGGAGTTGGCAGGCTTCCTGAGTCTGCTCCTAGTGGAGTCGTCCCCAGCACGGGGAAGGTTGCAGGGCCTGCCATCCGTGATTTTGGGTGCCTAGGGGTGGGGGGGTCGGTCAGAGCCAGACAAGAAAGCACTGTAGCACAAGGCCAAGCAGCAGGGCTGTGGGAGAACACCACAGACTAGAAGACCAGATGCTGAGCCAAGGGCGCTGGGAGCAGAGCAAGGTCAGTGGTCAGGGGCCCAGCTGTTTGTGAACCATCACTGTTCATGGGCTGCTTACTTCATGGTGAGCTCTCAGAAAAGCCCTCGTATTAGGTGGGACCTCATGAGCCTCATGGCTGAAGGAGCCTGAGCAGCTGCCTCAATCCAGCAGAAAACCAGGGTCTGACTTGTCTAGGCCCACGCATTTCTGAGCTGAGGTTCAGACGGTTCAAGGTTTGCTCTCCTGAGATGGTGTACAGCCTGACCCTCGATGCTTCAGCAGGTCTTGTCGACATTTAGGGTTCCCAGACCCACGTCACGTCCTTCCATCCCCATATTCCCAACTCCGTAATCATGACAGTCATGAGCACCATGATGTCTGAGTCCCAGAAAAATGCCGGCCATTCTCAGCCAGGTCCCAGCCTGGGCCAGTGAGTCAATTTACGTGTTCTATTGTAAAAACAAGATTGTTTTTTCTTTTGCCTCTGTTTATAGAGACAAGTTCAATGCCTTACATACAATAAAGGAAGAAGAGGAGTACACAATTATGGATCAATACAAGTCCCAGGATCCTATTCCCAAGAAGTGAGTTGATGCAAGCAGCAGTAACTTAAACACAGAACAGGAAGCTTGCATCTTCACAAGTGGGGAAAGTTGTAGCATCTAGAGCAGTGAGCAGTTTGTTGGGCCTGCATCTTCTACTCGATGGCAGGTCCCTACCAGCACTGAAAGAATTTAGAGTTTCTTTCCGTCCTGCCCTCAGGGTTCTCCTGTGGGGGATGGCAAAAGCCAGCTGGCCATGAGCCTGTTTAAGGGGACAGAGAGTCTGTGGTTTAGAGCCACCAGAGAAGGAGTATCAGGTTTTGTCTCAAGGTTTCAGGACCTAGAAAACCATGTATTTGTTTGGGAAGGAAGCTTGAGCCAGACACCTGGACCAGCACTCATAGTCTTCAACCACAGGAACCTTGGTCTTCCCTACATTCTTCTGGAGTCACTGGACCCCAGGGTGGTTCACAAACACGATCCCTTCTCCAGAGATCAGCAGCCCCAGTGGTGGGCTGGTTCGGTCCCCGAGACTTCCGGCCTCTGTCCTGCAGGGCTTCCCCTAGGCTGGGGCCTGAGCCCCAGGTGCTGGGCCTTCACATTGTCCTGTCTCAGCCCAGCCTTGAGGTCAAATCACCATGAGTCCCGCATGGCCTCTCTGTAGAAATCACAGAACCACAGAATTTCCGACCCCCCACCTGTCCCTTCTGTTGACAGGGAAATTGAGGCATCAATGAGGAAAGGAAGCAAGTTGAGTAAGCACAGTGCTGCTCCGTGGCAGAGCCAGGATTAGAACCCAGATGAGGTCCTTCTTGTGACATTAGAATGCCTCCATTTCCGGTTAGCTGCAATGTATTACCCTTTAAATTCACTGTTTTCATTTACTTATTTTTACTTTTTTAAAACCTCATATGAGAATATTTTCTGAGAAATATAGACTTTTTCTCATGTGCTAAGTAACGCATTGGCACAAGGGTGCCACCACATTCATTAAATGGAGTCAGAGCATAAATGATTCACTGAGTCCTGATTCTGGTTTTGCCATGGGTAATGTTTCCATCACTCCTGGGCTGGAGAGGATTCTGATTTTCCAAGTACATTTAGCTAATGTGGTGTCATTTGTTATTGTGTGGTTTTGTTTTGTTTTGTTTTTCCTTCCTCTCTTGGGTTATCCGGGAATAACAATTTAGCAATTGGGTGCAAAGAGAGTCACTTTTGGAGAAGGAAAAGCAAGGACAAGTCTCCTTTAGGCTGTAGGCTGTAGAGCTCTGTCTAAATGTCTAAGATTCTGGTCTTCTGACATGCCACCCTCTCCTAACTAGCCTCTCAGTTTTTCTCGACCCTATGGATTTCCGAACCTTTCCATTTATTAGTATCTTCACCGTATACCCTCCTTCATGTCTGAAATAAAAAACAAAGCAAGCAGAAAAAACAGTACGTAAAAGAAAAAAACTCCTGTACCTAAAGGCCAGATGACACAGAGTGGATGCCTCCTGCTGACCCCAAGGTGAAGTAGCCAATGTGGGTTCTGATTTTAGAAGAGATGAATGGTCACAGCCTCTGGGCCGTACTCCAGCACAGTACAGTTTTACAGGAGCCTCGGGACACACACACAGGTCCTTGGGCCAAAATGTCCCTGCTCAGTAAGTCCCCTGCCTGACTGCTCTACCCCCTCTCGAGAACCTGCAGCTTGAAGGTCATGCCCGTGTGCAGTGCAGAACTCATTGGCAGTCACTGTGCTTTATCACATGTGGGGCCTCCATTGGAAGATTTTTTTCTTAGCCTCAGTTGGAAGATTTTTTTCTTAAGAGCTATTTTTGAGCAGCTAAATCAAAAACTGCTGCCCAATTCCAAGCTCATTGTCAGAGCAGAAATTGTTGGCTTTTGCAGGTAAGTCCCCTTTCAGATATGTGTTATGTTTTGAAGTATTTATTGCTCCACTCAAGCATTTTGAATAATTGGATAGAGGTTGCCGAGCCAGGATTCAGCCCAGAGTGACATTAGGGCTGTGCTAAGGGTGTGCGACATCTTGGATGATGCAGTGAGAGGAGCAGTGGACAGACAGAACCTCAGTTCACAGTCATGACAGAGCTGGGACTGCTGGTCCACAGAGGCCTTGAGCTACGGCCTTGTTTTGTCTTCATCCTTGTACCATCGCTCCGACGTTGCTCTGCTTATATCACCTCTGTGATTACTTACATCTTTTCCCTCAAATGGGCTCACCATTTCCATTTGCCTTTCTTTTAAAAGAAAAAGTTATTATTGGTCCTGTAAATGGCAAAGCAGTATCACCATAAAAACAAGGTCCCCATAAAAGTAAATGCGTGACCATTACACTGTCCTATTCGGTGGATGCGGCACTTACTTGATCTCATGCACCTGCTCTGATTCCTGAGCTGCCAAGTGCTGGGCTGCCCTTCGCCTTCTCCCGGTGAGCTGCTGGGAACTCGAGCTCTCTCTGCCTTTGCTGCTGTCTGCACATCTCCTTCTCTCTGCTCCGCATGCTGACTTCATACAGTGGATGCTTGTCTGGTCCATTGCACCAGACTTAAAGCCAAATTTTCCCCTTGATTTCAAGTGGTAAGAGGTGGGTGCTTCAAACTTCACGGTGAGTGCAGACACTGAGTGGCTGGAGGGCTGGGGGATAGGTCCTAGGAGAGTGTGGAAGGGGCAGGAATCCCAACAGTGGGCGTGGCTCTGGGCCCACAGTCCTCAGGAGGCCTGGAGCCAGACACTGTGCAAAACAGCCTTGTCCTAATGCTCCTAGAACTCCAATCACATGCAGTTTTCATTTGTATAGGGTGTCCCAAAATTCACCCAAGACTTGCAATTCAATTCAATTGCAAATGTTGCGTGAATTTTGGGACACCCTATATTTGGAGAGCCCATCCCCTGTCTTACTATGAGGTAGTTCAAGGTCTTTCAGGGGTTTTCCCCTAATTTTTCTTCAATTACCTTTGACAAGAGTATATGTTCATGGTAGAAGATTCAGAGATTGCAGAAAAGCACAAAATACAAGGTAACAATGATTTTGCAGTCAAAATCACCATGCAGAGATGAGGGTTTTCTCCCAGCTGCTCAGGACTCACCCCCGTGAGCCATAGTTAGAGCAAGGGCTGGCCTCCCAGGGCCTCCAGCTCAGGTCTGCAGCCAGGGGCTCCCATTCAGACCACAGTCTGTGAGGTATGCAGCCCCGCTTTCTTCCCTGGGCTCCGTGTTCCCTGCTGCCTCTGCTTCTAGGCCTTGGTGTTATCACCCCACCTTGGCATGGGATGTTGCAGCCCCATTTGTCGCTGTCCTTCTCTGCCCCAGGCCCTGGGGACCTAATACCAAAGGGAGGGGCCCCCCATAGAGGCAGCTTTGACCACACAGGTGCCTCTGCTGACCCAGCCACCAAGCCCTAGCCATCCTGACCAAGGGCGCTGTGTGTTGGGGTGATGCTAGGCTGTGAACAGGTCGAGTAGGAGCAGAAATTTTGGTCCTGGACACGTGGCCTACACAGGGGACATCTGGGGGAGGCGAGTAGGGAAAGGGAGGGCTCTCCAAGGACACTCCTGCCCTCATGCCTGCCTTTCAGTTCTTCCTCTCTTCTCTGTAGGACACTCCCCCAGTTTCCGGGATGATGTGCTAATGACCTCCTCAGGAAGACCACGATCTCCTAATAATCAGAGGCCAGCCAGGCCTACCTGCCAGGAGAGAAGGGGCCAGGATGCCCTCCAGCTTGGTGCCCCCTCAGGATGACTGTCAATACCTCTGAGGGGAAGCTGTCTGTAAAACTCGTGACTCCAGACACTTTCTGCACTTTGTGAAACAATGGGTGTTAGGGATGCTCGAGGAGTTCATTGCTCAGGACTCTCCACACAGCTCAGCACTGGCAGCTGCAGCACAGATGACAAGAGGGTGGGTGAATCATCAGAGTCCACGGACTGGAGATGCTACAAGTGTAAAAATTACCAGCATCACATCACAGAAGTCTCTGAGTCTCATCAAGGAACCCCCACTCCTGATAGAAGGCGATGGCCATGTCCTCAAAGTTCATATCTGTTCTGGACACTGCGACCTGGGCTGTGGGACCTGAGCGGCACTTGCACCCGAGGCTGGAGGGTTCAATGGGGTGAGACTGAGTGGACTCTGTCAGCGGAGAGGAGTCTGGGCGGCACGGAGATGCCAATCCTCGGTGTTGGGCTCAACAGGCTCAGACCCACCTTTCGCAGTGGAGACACTGCCTCCCGAACCTCCTCCTACTCGTGCCCAATGCCCAACGGGAGTGCTGAACCCCATAGGTCCGTTAATGGAAGCCAAAACCTCCCCCAGGAGGAACATACCGGAAGCTACTTTATTTTTTTAATCAAAATATGCAGGGGAAAAACACCTTGCATGGAAACAGAAACACCTGATATGTCTACTGAGCCAAAACCACTGGAAATGTAAAAAAAATAAATAAAAATCCAATAGTCATGTAGGACAGAGCTACATCAATAATAGAATAGAGAGTTCCATCAAGATGGCAGTGTAGGTAAACATGGGACTTGCCACCTTCCACAACCACATCAAAATTACAACTAAAATACAGAACAACCATCATTCAGAGCCACCAGAAATCTGGCTTACTGGAAGTCCTACAACTAAGGACATCCAGACTGGTAGGAAAGGCGAAGACACAGGGCAGAATCTCTGAACCAGCTGGTCCCACAGCCACATGTGGTGTTTTAAAATCGGGAGGGATATCTTGGCTGTGAAGGTTTCCCTGAGGAATGGGGGGGGGGGGGGGGTCCCAGCCCCACACTAGGCTCCCAAGCCCAGGGTTCCAGTACTGGGAAGAGAAGTCCTCACATCTTGTGGCTGTAAAAACCAGCAAGGATTGTGGCTGAGTGACAGAGGCTGCTGGAGTCCCAGGCAGTTCCTCTTAAAGGGCCTGCACACGGACTTACTTGGACTCACTCCCTCTGAGCTCCACCGCTAGTGCAGCAGCTTGAAAGGAACCTGGGATATTGGGGGAGGAACTAACTTGCCTGGAATCAGAGCAAGAGTTGGAGGGGCAGCTTTCTCTAAGACAGAAATGCTGGCAGAGTCCATTGTTTCTTTGCTGAGCCCTCACTGTGACGCAGCTGGCAGACAGGGCAGCATATATGAATCTCTATCAATCTGGATCACACTTTTTGCTCCACCCTAGTGATTCTCTGAGACCCTACCTCTTGCTATTTTCAGGCTCATCCAAGCCATTTCCATGGCTTTTCCATACAACTGGCCTCTTTTGCCTCATGCTTTGGACTTTCCTAAAATCTTTCAAACAAGCAGCACCTGGCCTCAGCATGCCCTGTACTTCTTTTTTTTTTTTTTTAATATATTTTATTGACTTTTTTACAGACAGGAAGGGAGAGGGATAGAGAGTTAGAAACATCGATGAGAGAGAAACATCGATCAGCTACCTCTTGCACACCCCCTACTGGGGATGTGCCTGCAACCAAGGTACATGCCCTTGACCGGAATCAAACCTGGGACTCTTGAGTCCGCAGGCCGATGCTCTATCCACTGAGCCAAACCGGTTAGGGCGATGCCCTGTACTTCTTAATAAGTGGCCCCAGGCCTGGTACTTGCCTTGGTTCATTGCTTGGCCTCTTCCAAGCCCAACACAAGTAACAGCCATCTCCAGAATGCTTTGTAGCTCATGCTGGGCACTGGGCAGGGTATAGGCAGTGGTTGACTTTGCACCTCCAGGGAGGTGCAAATGCACCTGGTGGTCAGCTTTGACCACGCAATTACAACCTTACCACATCCACGAGTAACACACTCAAGGGGAAGACTTGGTGAACACCAAAGCCCCACTGAAGCAAGTCCTACTCCATAGGGGTGTGTCCTGCACAGCAGGTCTTCTGCTGTAGTGGCAGCTGAGCCTCTTAACTGATTGGCCTGGTGGTCAATACCTCCCAGCAATGTCAATATCAAGAAAGACTCAACTACAGTTGTACAGTGCACACAGCTCCCACAGGGTTGCACCTGGAGTGCCCAGCCCAGGTGACTGGAGAGGCTGAGCCACTAGGCCCTACATGACATCTATTACAAAAGGCCACACCACCAATTCCAAGAGACATAGCAGCTCTACCTAATGCACAGAAACAAATACAGGGAAGTAGCCAAAATGCAGATACAAAGAAATATGTCACAAATGAAAGAATAGAAGAAATATCCAGAAAAAGAACTAAATGAATTGGAAGCAAACCTACTACTAGATATGGAGTTCAAAACAACCGTTATAAGGATGCTCAAGGAACTTAGTGAGGACTTCAAGGAACTTAGTGAGTACATCAACAACATAAAAAGGACCAGTCAGAAATGAAGAATATTTATAGGGAACCAACAATAGCAGCCACTAAGAATCAAATCAGTGATTTGGAATATGAGGAAGCAAAACACACCCAATCAGAAGAGCAAAAATAAAAAATAATAAAAAAATATGAAGATAGTGTAAGGATCCTCTGGGACAACTTCAAGCATACCAACATTTGTACTATGAGGGTGCTGGAAGGAGAATAGAGGAAACAAGATATTGAGAACATATTTGAAAAAAATAATGACAGAAAAATTCTCTTACCTGGTGAAAGAAATAGACATACAACTCCAGGAAGCACAGAGAGTCCCAAACAAGATAAACCCAAAGAGGCCCACACCAAGACACATCATAATTAAAATTCCAAAGGTTAAAGACAAAGAAAGAATCTTAAGAGCAGCAAGAGAAAAGCAGTTAGTTACTTACAAGGGAGCACCATAAGACTGTCAGAACTGATTTCTCAACAGAAACTTTGCAGGCAAGAAGGGAGTGGCAAGAAATATTCAAAGTGATGAAAAGCAATGACCTACAACTAAGATTACTCTACCCAGCAGAGCTATCATTTAGAATTGAAGGTTAGATAGAGATTCCCAGACAAGAAAAAGCTAAAGGAGTATTACATGAAATGTTAAAGGGTCTTCTTTGATAAGAAGAAGAAAAAAATATCAAGGATAGGAGAAATAAAATGGTAATAAATACATACCTATCAACAATTGAATCTAAAAATAAAAATAAACAACCAGGCAAAACAATAACAGACTTATAGGCACAGAGAACATTTTGATGGTTGACAGATGGGAGGAGGGTTGGGGGAATGGGTGAAAAACGTGAAGGGATTTAGAAGTACAAATTAGTCATAGCCCATAGACACAGACAATAGACAGGTGAAGGCCTGGGATGGGGTGGGAGATGGGTGGAGGGGGAAAGTAAGGGACATCCATAATACTCTCAACAATAAAAAACATTAAAAAAAACAGAATAGTAAATTATCAATTATCTACATATGGTTAAACCACTTTATTATTTGTGGAATTGTTAAATCTCAAGCTGTGCTGTATAAAGGAGTGTTTTGAGAAAGACTTAGAAATACCTATTTAGACAACTTGCCTTCCCTTTCCCTTTTAGCATTTTTTTTTTTTCATATCAGGCATCCTCAAAGAAAATATGTGTATAGTCTGGCCAGTGTGGCTCGTGGTTGAGTGTTGATCTATGAACTAGGAGGTCACAGTTTGATTCTCAGTCAGAGCACATGCCCGAGTTGTGGGCTCAATCCCCAGTAGGGGGTGTGCAGGAGGCAGCCTATCAATGATTCTCTCTCATTATTGATGTTTCTATCTCTCTTTCCCTCTCTGAAATCAATAAAAATATACTTAAAAAATAAAATATGTGAATAAAATTATCTACTAAGTGGAATTTTTAGTGGGGCCCAGGTAAATGAGAAGGGACTATAGTTTAGTCATCATGAGAACATTAAGCTCTTTTCTTAGTTTCTACTTTTTGAACTGTACCATTTTTAAGGAATTAGCTTTAAAGAGAACAAATCTAAATCTCTATTGTATTATGAAACTTTAGGAAGAGTAATAACATATAATTTCCTTTTGCATTGCATATTAGAGTTACCTAAGTGCTTTCACATACACACTTTCAATCAACAGGGCCACATTATTACTTATACAACCCAGATTTGGTTTATTAACTTATATAGCCCAATTTAATTCCTCATGTCAAGGACATCTTTGGAATAAGTTACACAAATCCCAGGGAGAAACAAAGTGTAAGTTTTTTTAATGCTTGGGAAGCAAAGGGACTTGAAACATTTACTGATTCTAAAAATGTAAAGAGTTCACATGAAGGTTAATTGAGATAATCCAAAATCCAAAATCTTTCACCTTGGCCAGTGTGGCTCAGTTGATTGATCATCACCCTGTGCACCGAAAAGTCACCTGTTAGATTCCCAGTCAGGGCACATACCCAGGTTGCAGGTTAGGGTGCCTGCGGGAGGCAACTGATTGATGTTTCTCTCTCACATTGATCTCTCCTATGTCTCTCTCTCTCTCTCTCAAAAATCAATAAAAATATATTTAAAAATAAATAAAATAAAATGTGTTTCCATTTTTATTTATATTAAATTAATTACATACAGCAATTATGTCATAAAGGAGATAAAGACTTGCTTCACTGCTCCCTCAATCTCCAATTACAACCACTAATTCATGCACTCTTAAATGGCTTATAGGTAGATAACACTTAGCAAAGAAATAAGTATAAGAAATAGCAAAGAAATAAGTACAAGAAATAGCATATTTTCTATGGTTTGTGAAAATGAGATTTTCCTCAAGCATTAAGAATATGCTTGGTGGACTGTGTGTTTTTATACTACCCTCTAAAATAAAATTGGATTTTTCTTTTTTTCTTTGCATTTTTTTGTCTTCCGTGTATTCTCAATATGATGTGTGTCACAGCAAAAACTGTCACCACAAGCCCAGCCGGCGTGGCTCAATGGTTGAGCATCGACCTATGAAACAGGAGGTCACGGTTCCATTCCCAGTCAGGGCACATGCCCTGGGTGCGGCTCATTCCTCTGGGGGTGGGGGGGAGGGCTGCAGTAAGCAGCCAATCAATTATTCTCTCTCATCATTGATGTTTCTCTCTCTCTCCCTCTCCCTTCCTCTCTGAAATCAATAAAAATATATAAAAAAATTGTCACCACAAGAACTAAGCACAACCAAACTTATTTAAAATTTTATAGCTTTGTGTGATTAGAAGGCTTCAATTCTTGTCCCTTGCCCCCACATCAAATGTTGATGTTTTATACAAAATTTTGACAGGAAAATAATAGGCTGTTGATTTTCATTATTCATTCATCTTTTTAGGATTTCAAACATAACAGACACACAGTGATTTGATTTCAAGATTCCTAGGTTTTAACCTGGGGTTCATTTTCCTGCTACCTTCTACCACCATTTATCCCATTGGGAAGGACTTAGGTCCATAGCACATCTAAAACACCTTGCATTACACCCACACTCTGTTGTCAAAACTAATTAAAACCACATTGGTAAATGTAACCTTAATTTGTACTGGATTCCATCTCCCACACAAAGCATTTGTAGTGTTTAATGTTCTAGAAGGACAAGAAAGCTGTAGTTTACATACTTACTAGTTACTTCTTGCTATATAAAGAAAGTCTGGAAAAAATCAGCTTAAATTCATGTAGGAAAGCTGCATCACACACTACAGGAGATGGTCTCTTTTAGAGTAACTGTGCAGTGAATGTGTGTTCTCTAGTCACTCCAGTGATGCCTGGGGAGTGGTTATTAAAGTGGCTCCAACTTTCATGACTCATTTGTGAAGTTCCTGATTTCTCTTTTGCTCTCTTCTCTCCTCT